TTAGTCCAATGAAACTGTTTATCATCTTGATACCTTCCCACGAAAATTCAAAATTGACCCTTCCGGGAACAGGTCAAACGGCAAAAAACCAAATAGGCAATAAGTCAAAACGGCAATGGCCAAAACGGCAAAAAAAACCCCAAAACCTTGAAAACTGCAGCGACTGCAGTGACATCTACTAACTTCTCTTTGCTACAATACTATTTCGACGAGCTATAGGTATACCAAACAGGTCGGTCACACATGTTTGATATTACTATATTAAAATATCGCAGATATTGTATTGATTTGACACACATCATATTGTATTGATTTGACACACATCTGATTGACACAGATTAAAAATATACAGAAATGTATACTTTATATACCTGACTGACTGAATTGTTTGCTCCTTCAATTTTATTACCAAACGGTGTCTATTATATACACGTATCCGTTTATATAGCCGTACTGTACGTGTTTTCTATTGACCTCTCTCTGGACATGTGTTTTTGTTGATAAGATGGCGCAGTCAAAAGTCAAAAGAAAACGTGTTAGCGTATCAGTATCGTATAATTCTGGAAGTGAAGGTGATATCGAAAGTGATGAAGGTTCACCAATTCATGGTAAGGTATAATTTAAGTTGTTTTAGACCTTCTACTAGGATAGATAGAGTAGGTTGTGGGTAGGCCCACCACCAACTCTTGTTGGCTTGCTTGCCATTCACCACAACACAGGCTCCAGCGGCCGGTACAGTCTGAGCGATAGAGACTCACAGGCCTAGCTTTAGAGGTGCAAAAACCGACCAGAAAGTATGCAAGTTTGAGAAAGATTTAAGTTAATCTTGCATGCATTGTTTGATTAAATAAAAGGTAATTTTGTTGATACTAGTATAAAAAGTATTTCATTTGGTATTATTATACCCTACACAGGCACATAGTTACAGACATAATAAACAATAATTATACCCTATGTTACACCTGGTATTATACCCTACGCAGGCACATAACTACAGACATAACTGAAATAAAACACTGAAATCAGGGTCTATTGTATGTTAAATAATGATAATAATACACACCGTTAGACAGCCTACATACAGTAGACCGTTACACCCCGTCCTCGCCACACCATGTATAATAATACCCAACACGCATTTCATGAAACACATTTTTAGAATCGTATTGGCCAACTTGTATACATGATCCTAAAAGGTTATTTTGTCTATAAAAGTATTTCGTTTGCACACAAAACATAGGACAACTAAGAAATAACTAAAAATAAATCTTTAAATTAATTTTCATAGAAAGTACAAAAAAGAATAGAAAACCGAAGCTCAAGGAAACACCAGACGAATTTGAGGATGAAACTGAAGTGGAGGCTGGTGAAGGATGGGCTGATGCTATGGCAAAAATACTCCAAAAAACAGTCGTCAATGAAGGGTCTGCCATCTTAGCAAAATCAAAGTCACACGAAAAAGAAAAAAAGAAGGAAAAAGATGAATATGAAGAAAAAAGAAAAATAGTAAGGTTTCCATGATTATCATGTATGTGTTGTGTGTATTTGTTTTATGGTTAAAGTACCTCCAGACCCAAGGTCCTGGGTTCAAATCTTGTAACACTCCACTGGTATCACCACTGGGTGTAACTTGCAAAAAATTGCAATTTTATTCACATACAGTACAACTCCACTTTTCAATCCTCTTAATGAAGCTTGGTTTCCATACAATCACTTACACTGTACAGAAAGGCCTGCACGAGGAACATATTCGAAAGTATAATACATAGTCCAAGTATTGAAATGCACGCCATCGTGTTGGGATTCAATATTTCAACATTAATTATGTCATCATCAGGAATGAACATATTCTCCGCGCAAAAATTTGGCCTAGAAATCTGTCTGCGCATTTCGGAAAATAAAGGCCGATTTCCGCACAGATTTTGCAGAAAATTGGGCTTTGAACAAATCTTAATATGTAACCAATGCAATTAAGCAGCAATTATTATTCCGCAAATATTTGAGCTGATATTATACTGAGCAATTAAAAACTTAACGGTATGGACAATCGCTAAGCGCTATTGCCGACATATTTTGGTGATGCTGATTGGTTGATCGAATCGGGGAGTCTTCCCGATTGGATCAGGGACTGCCACACAGTACAATGATTTCACTGAAGACACTGCAGCGACAGTGTAACGATTTTAAGGAAACTAGCCTTGACTTAGTATGAAGCGCATCATTGCATCCTGTAACTGGCAAGATTTTTAAGTCTTGCTTAAACAGGATGTGCAGAGATTTTACTTGATCTACAATGTTTGAATACATGTTTGAATATGTGTCTATGTATATAATATGAATCGTCTTTTTTTTGTTTTTTTGTTTTTTGTTTTTTTGTTTTGTAGAAATATACAAAGAAAGCGTGGGAAGATATAGCATACGTAAAACCAAATGTTGAACACAAGGATATAGAACGCAGTTTCCAGAGAACAGCTACCAGGTAATATTGTCACCGTAGATACATGGGAATTGTTTAGGTAGAGGGCAGCATATGTGGAAAAGAGCCAAACTAGTCACTTGTCGAAAAAATCGATATTTAGTTATTAATACAGGGTTAAACAGTAAAATGAGAGTTATAAAATGGTAAAAGAATCATTTAAATCCGACATTTCCTTATGTAGTTACAGGAGTTTAAACATACAGCTGTTTAAAGAACAATATTTGAGGAATCGGTCTTCAAAGTTTATGATTTTGGGCATTTCTCTGGCAGAAACAATCATCAAATTGTTAAAAAAATGTTGTTTTAATATTGAAAATGGGGAAAATAACAAAATAGCATAATATATATTAATATGTAAAGGTTAGTTTAGTGGATAATAAAATAGATTTAAACAATTTCGACATTCCAGCATGTTTTGGCTATTATCTCTGAAACGGGATTTACGACGAGTGACTGATTTGGCTCGTCTTTGCCACATATAGTATAGGGATAATAAACTTATTGTTTACTCCACAGCCACATTGACAGTAATTTATTTTACTTTTTGGTTATCCCGTTGGGCCTTGTGGAGAATCAGTATCAACATTACTAGTTCATTTTGTGAAACTATCTAAGCATTATTTTTATTGAAAATGTCTTTAAAATCCATGTAGCTTGGCTTAACTAAGTAAATGACATTCTGCCATTTGTTTTATTTGTCAGAGGTGTCGTTCAGTTATTCAACGCTGTGAAAAAAGAGCAGAAGACACTGGAATCAAAACTGACAGAAGTCGGAGCATCTGAGAGAAAAAGGGCAAAGGTAGAGTCATCGATGTCTAAAGGTCAATTCTTGAATCTATTGAAGAAAAGTGCCTCCAAAACACAGCAGGCAACTGGTGACAAAGAAACACAGGTAAGACATCTGTAGCATTGGTTGGTAGCTTCCAGGTTATGCCCCTTCACACATTCACAATTTTTCTATAGTAGATCAAGGTTTTAAATTTTTGAAAATCGCAGTGGCATCGTACTAAATGTTGTGGTCAGTCGTAATTCACCGTAGCGCACCAAACTGGATCTTGATGCCATCGTGAAGAAGCATGATTATTTTTATGTAAAAAAAAATCGTGCTCTACCATAGCTGTGACAACAATTATGGTCTACTGCAACAGCATAATATGAGTGTCGTAACATCATTGTGGTTCGTTGTGGTTTTTTTTTTAAATTCATACTCACTTCGGGTAGCCAAAATGTCTCCTCCAACAATGGTCACACGGTAACTATGATAGAGCAAAATTTGTCAACTTTTAAAATTCTTGTTCTACCATAGCAAACATCTTAAACGTGTGAAAGAGGACATTATGGGGTATGAATGAAATCAATATGGTTAGCCACTACCAGTATTACATAAGTTTGACCTGTTAGACCAACGAATTACATTTGGAACCTAACTTACCCCACTTTAAATCTAATTAAAATCTGTCCTAATCAATGATAGCAATATGGTAGTATGTTGGAAATTGTGTCATGGTTCATGGAACTGAAATTTCATAATACAAATTTTTACTGTTCAATTTATTATTATGAATAAATATACAATAATTTATTTTTATTTTACAGGGTTCGTCAAAAAAATCTGGTGCAACATGGGATGTATTAAGAGATAATTTCATGATGGGAGCAACCCTGAAAGACTGGGATAAAGAAAGTGAAAGCGAAACAGAAAATAATGACAGGACTTGAGAAATAAAGACATTTTAAAATTGTAATTATATAATGAGATTATAAAAGGAGATGGGCATTGGTAACATCAGTCCTCAAGTTTTCCATGAGGAAAGTTGGTAGGAATTATTACTGGCTCTGGAGAGAATGTCATACATCTGGGAAAATTATCCATGTGGAATGTTTAGCAATCTTCACTGGCACTAAAGGCAATGTCATCCATTGGGACAGATTTCCAATGTGGGAGGCTGCTAGCAATTATTACTCGCACTGAAGACAATACCATCCATTGGGATAATTCCTCCCACTGAACACAATACCGTTTATTGGGATAAGAGAACATTTTTGTCATAAATACCATTTTTAAGATACTTAAATTTTTAGTCTATTGTATAATTGAGGAATGGTGTGTCTAAGTATATATCACTGGGAAATTGATTTTTGTAATTCATAAATAATAGAGTAACTCTGCACAAATTATTGATGATTGTGATGACAATGGCAGTTTGGTTCCCAATCATTACTGGTACAGTTGACAATGCTTTCCATTGGGACAGATTCCCATGTGGAATGCAGTGCTAGCAACTGTTTACACTGAAGGCAATACCATGTATTATGATAGGAGGATGTTTTCGTCATAAATGTCATTGTAATGGTACTTAAGTTTGTAATCTACTGTAAGATTGAGGAGTAGTTTATTGTCTAAAAATCAATCACTGGGAAATTGCTTTTTATTTGCAATTCATGAGTAAACATGTAACTCTACACAAAATTGATGGTGATGACAATGGCAGTTTTGCAGAGCTGGAATGGTTCGGTTTCCCAACCTGTGCACTTTGCTTCTATCCATGAGCAAGGCACTTTATCTGTGTTGCTTCTCCCCACCCAGGAGCATAAGTTGGTTCCTGGTGTGGTTGCCTGCTACTGCCCCAATAATATAGCAGCAACTCTTAAGCATGTGGACCCAATGACCAAGGAAAACAAAGTGCTTTGTAACAAATGGAAGCGGTGACAATGAAATTTAATAATATAGTGAGCCACTGTGCCTTGAAAATGCCAAAATGTTCAGTTTTGTCTTGTGATTGGCTAGAGATTACAGTTCCATGGTAGGACCTACAGTAACAAGCAAGTCTAGCATTGAATGATGCTATGCACTTTAAGTATATACAACGCATTGTTTTAAACATTGTATCACAGTTCTAATATGGAGTGAAATAAAAATGAAATAAAAAAATGTATGTCAACTTTTATTTTTTAGAATACAAAACATTACAAAACAAGAAAAGTAATAAATCAAGCTGACCCTCTCAGCCTGCCATCTGAAATTAAATCCCTAAACAACATTACTCGTGTATATATATAATATGGTTATGATGTGATGTCATCAAGACTATATTATGGTCTATTAATTCCAAATATTCAATTACCATTTACAATTGAAGTGTCATATTATTAATTCCCAGTAATATTTAACAAATCAATCAGCCGGGTATTCATAGAGCTCCTCATCGGAGCTAATACTTTTTTGATGAAACAGATATACTTTATTTTGATTCAATGTGTTTATGATAGCTGAATATTTCATTCTTAAAATATTATCAGTAAAAAATTAATAACAGAATAGATCAATATTGCTTCCCTGAGCAGTCTTTTTGAAATTACATGGTATTATTTATCGTAAGATAATCAGTGGACCACATGGTTTTTGCATATAGCCTATTTTGTTTTTGTTAAAAAGTATGGAATTTCGAGCACGATAAAACTTGTTTGCTAGAAAAATGTTAACATTCAAAGTTGGAACCTCTGTAGTCATCTAAGTTCCCTATAGCGTCACTTGCTTGGCTGTGATACTTCAGACCTTCCAGACAAAAATAATTGAATGTAAGCGCGCCCTCATAATGTGTATGAAACATTTGACGTAAATTCGTAAGGAGACGTGAGTTTTGTAGTATAGTAACTTCCTTCCAAATTGTTTGTACCTGGTTAGTTCCTACCACAATTCAAGCGGACGCATATCCTAGGTAAGCCTACTACACATAAATCAGTGACTCACGTACCCCACTTTGTTTTGTAAACGTCACGGATGACGTAATTGTGCGCACGTTTACCTACGACAACATGAAGGGTTTATTTTAGAATCCTTTGTCAAACAAGTCTGCGAAAATGTCGGGTATACCCTCAGTTTGAATAGAATATAAAAACCCCTTATTTTTCCAAACTTTATCTTACATATATGGCACAATAAATAATGGTAGGCCTAGGCCTAAATTGAAAATACAGTTTCACGATCAGAGGTTGCAGTCATTGTTTCAAATGGTCACATTTACCATTTGGGTTGCTATAAACTGAAAATGATCAACATAATATGATAATAAAAATAATCATTTCCGTAAACAACGCGTTGGTAGAATGACTGGGCCTACCGTTCTTAACAACTTAGGAATCAAGAGGTATTACTCTTAATTTTAATACAAAGGTTATTGTTTCTTTAATCTCTGTACATAAATGGTTCAGATAGATAATCTTCAAATCAACTCTATTAAAATATGAGATTTTGATTGACATGGGACCAAGACGCTAAAGTTTAAGAGAATTGCGTGCAGGCCTAATTAATGTAGGCCTACTATAATTGCGCGCGCAACTTTAGAAACATATACTGGACGTAGACCTATACACAGGCCTAAGTGGTAGTCGGCAAATAGGACGAAGAAGTCAATTTGGTGCAGTCTACAGTAATTAATTATCATGAACGTTTCGCCCATAGATCTTGGTGTCCGTATGTGGCATTTTCATATATAAGAAAGACATAGGTCTACGGACGATCGAAAACGTGCGCGCGTAAAAATAAATAAATTGCAACTTATCAACACCTCGTCCTTCAATGTTGTTTTCTTTTCTGTTGATCCAAAAATATTGGTAAAACGTTTACTTACACGACGATTTGCTTGTGATCCTCCAGCACTGTCAAGTGTACTGTCATGTTAGTACCTCTTTTTGAACATCAATATTTTCCTTTGCATTACTACTTTCAATAAATTATTGAACATATCGATTTATACAGAAATGTTTTTTTCATCACACCCCCTTTGGAAAAAGCCGTGAACTCTCAAGTGGGCCTTACTTATTAGCGCAACAAAATTGTCTGAAACGTGAGGCGTAAGTAATAATGGTGCGGTCTGGCACGACTGCCAAAATGCAATCGGAAGTGTAACACCACCAATAAAATCTATTCCTAGCCTCAGAGTTCTCTAAGGACCATATTTGTATACCTTGACGGATAAGATCACGACATAGTCAGGGTTATGCAGTTGTTTTGGTTTGAAGGAATATGGGCTAGACTAGCGTAGCAGACGAAGATGACGCTGGTCGCAAAAGTGGGCGGTATAATCATACCGGATCTAAGAGCGACTTGTCTGACTGGAATAAGGTTTTCTGATAATACTCCGTTGCCTAGACCTGTCTCTTATACACATCTAGATGTGTATAAGAGTATACTTTCCTTTTGCGATTTAATTCACGTACATGGTAAACTTGGAAACAGGGAGATATTGAAACGATTAACTAACATCTTAAGAACAAACAGTTCATATAGTAAATTAAATGGATTTTTAAATGCGTTTGTTTGAATCGAAACACAATCATACACTAATATAGGTCAGGCCTACTACTGTCACTGATTACACAGTGACGTTAAGCTTTTCGTGCTTAACCATGGCTCTATACCCGGTTTTTGTGTCGACCGTATTGAACAATGCCTATTTGATTCCAAAAACAAAAGAACGTTTGTCAGCTACCGAAATGCATATGGCAATGCACATAACATATTAATAAAATTCGTCTGTTTGCTTAATATTTAGTTTCATAAGTACACTGCGTGGCTCCTATATACTGAGTAGGCCCACGAATGCTGATACTGTATCGTGATTGACTCCTGCGGTTTCCAGGTGTTAGTGCGGAAAGTTCTTAGAAAGTAGAAACCGCGAAACATTAAAGGGGATTTCCAAGTTTTGACAATAATAAAAGATAATAAAGAGACCTCCTTTGCAATCGTACCTCTTTAATTTTACACGTTTAACCAGATTGATCAATCCAAGTTCTGTGATTGGCTGATAATTTTTTAGACGCGTGCGTTCACGATACTGTATTATACGCGCGCGTATTGTATACGCGACAATGACGTCATATAAGAGTCACTTTAATATACACACGTCTTCAACAAAAACAGGGCTAGCCAGACACTGAATGTATTAAAAGTTCATTTCACAGTTGCCAAGGCCATTGGGTGATTTAAGTAATTAACGACCTCTTTGTGTTAATTACCGTGACATTTATCCGAATTTCAGCACCATTGACCACAAAGGTAAACATCATAAAATTACCCCTGGCTTAGGACCTTATTAGGTTTTCACTAAGTTCAATGTTTTACATTTCGCTAGCTAATCGCTTGCCGAATATGAAAACATTCCGAAAAATGCTCTTGATCCACTCGGAATTCAATAAAAGAAAAATTAAAAAACCCAGAAATATTAATACTCTATAATCAAGAAAAGTTAATACTCCTGAATGGAGACAATCACAGATAAATTTCTGGTTTGTGTGAGTTAAGGCACCTAAATTTCCCTCTCCAGGAGGGGTAACGTAGTAGTGTTAAAGACTCGTTGTGCGAGAGAAATGACGAATCCCCACAGCACCGTTTCACAATATAGTCAAAGAGCTTATGAGCTCAGGACCCCGGTTTTGAATTTAACAAGCTATAATATTAACACTTATTTCTATTTCAGTACAGGAATGTTGACATTACAATATAATGCAAAAATTCAAAAGAACTGGCTCCGTTTCTTTTTAGAAAGCTATGTCGCCCTCTATAATTGTATAAGTTTGTTGAACGTCCTAGCATTATGAAAACATTAGACCGTGGGACGATTAGATGATTAGGGACGGGCGAATAGCCAGATCGTTTACTTGATTTCGATACAATGACTCTGCATAAGTGGCATCAAGACATTTTTCCATTGAATTCTCCAGCAGCACACCTAAGTCAGTATGTAGGCTACCAGTGCTTAACCATAATTAAATGGGCACGTGAATGTAAATTGGAAACGATTAACACTGATGTATCAAAAGTTTGTACTAAGTTTTAAAAACCAGTATCAAAATGTTAATCGAGAGAGATTGATCTTTATCTTTATTGAATCGCATGCACCATGGAAACTACCACGAAAAGGCAGAATGCTCACAGAAAGCACTATTTGGAAAAAGTTGTGCGCTACCCCGACACGACTGTGTTGCGTGAAAACTGTAGGGTAATCAGCGAAACCGAGGCGTAGGCCTATTCTAGATTCCCGATGGGGACGGTACATTTTTTTTCTATTACATCACTAGTGGATGTGTTTTTCCATAACGTGTTTAATACCAAGTGTGTAAACGTTATTATTTCATAAGCCGACATTATATACCTAAATTACCTATTTATTTATTTTATTTATTTATCTATTATAAATCCATCTATTATTATTATTATTATTATAATAATATATATATATATTGTGTAAAAAATGATGATCCAATTCAGCTTTAATGAAGCGTGGGATATCTTCTCATACTTCCTAAGCAAACAAATTGGCAGGTCTTCCGAACTAAAATCCTTAATGATGGAACCAAACCTATTATTATTATTATAATATATATATATATATATATATATATATATATATATATATTGCAATACAATAATAATTATAAACGGAAACTACGTTAAGTACTAATAGGTAACGATAGGCACGTGGTTTACTTGTAATTATCTTCTGATGTGAGATAATGTTGTATAGCAAGGTAAAGGTTAGGGATACGAAAGGAAGATACATCACATAGGGACATACAGTTGAACCCTTCATATGAGGGGACATCCTCGGGACTGAAATAAGTGCCCTTAATAGGAATATCCTCTGATTAGGGGTATCCTTAACAGGGGATTGGTCGTAGTGTATAAATAAGATTTCCCTCGTTTTGTGGCCGAAAAGGTGTTCACTTAATAGAGGTGTCCCTTTAAAAGGGGTGGCCCAGAGGAGGGGTTCTACTGTAATTATATAATGGTCTATTCCTTTTTGGAGGATTTTTTTTGTATACACTTTTTGCTTTTTTTACATTTCAGTCATTTTTTATTTCAAACACAACAAAAAAAATACAGCAAGGTATAAAATGCAATCAAAATAATCGAGATTAATAAAAAAAAAAATTATAATTCATGAAAGGGATTGTACTGATTACGGTATTCTAATAGTAGGCCTACTTCATTGTTAGATTGTCTCTTTTATTTTATTTCATTTTAAACTATTTATTTGATAATCAATAAATTATTGAACATATCGATTTATACAGAAATGTTTTTTTCATCACACCCCCTTTGGAAAAAGCCGTGAACTCTCAAGTGGGCCTTACTTATTAGCGCAACAAAATTGTCTGAAACGTGAGGCGTAAGTAATAATGGTGCGGTCTGGCACGACTGCCAAAATGCAATCGGAAGTGTAACACCACCAATAAAATCTATTCCTAGCCTCAGAGTTCTCTAAGGACCATATTTGTATACCTTGACGGATAAGATCACGACATAGTCAGGGTTATGCAGTTGTTTTGGTTTGAAGGAATATGGGCTAGACTAGCGTAGCAGACGAAGATGACGCTGGTCGCAAAAGTGGGCGGTATAATCATACCGGATCTAAGAGCGACTTGTCTGACTGGAATAAGGTTTTCTGATAATACTCCGTTGCCTAGACATCGCACTCTACTAGGGTGGACTGTCTGAATGGAACAATAGATACACGGCAAAACTTTCGTTTTTATTTTTATGATGAGAAATACCTATTACCAGAGTGAAGAAGATATGTGAAATAGGATCATTTTGTTGCAGTATAAAGATAGCAATCACCCCCGCGCTAATCCCAAATTAGATTAGAAATGAATGTTAGTTCGTATCTTAGTTTCTTGTTTTGCTTATGACAATAAAGACATGTTATCTTGTACTCTATATCTAGTAGGCCGCACTGTGATACCCATATGGTTTTTATTGAGAATCAAAAATAGTGACAGTCTATATACATTTGTCTAGGCCAATTATTAATCCTAAAATGTATGTTGTTTTAATGGCAGATAATTTATCCAAGATGCTTATTGGAGTAAAACATTCCCTGCTATTAAATTCTACATTCTAGGCCTACATGTTAATCTTATGTAGATAATTATTGGACCTTTTTTTGGTAGGCCCATGCCTTCGAATTCATGTTCAATCGGAAAATTTTCTTTGGTTATGTAGGCCTAAACATAATAAATTTATGCTAAACTTTTTATAATTTCAGTTTTAAGTATTTTTTCTAATTACCATATCACTAAATTTGTTCAAAATATAATTGTTTATGTATTTGCACTTGGACGCACCATGGCAGTGTGTAGATTATTGTTGGAGAAAATGAGATTCACTAAAACTGAAAATCAGAAACTCTTGCATCAATCACCCAGAACAATATAGGCCTAATCAGACATTGAGAAGTTCCACTATGTTGTCACCAGCTAGTAATCAGAGCACTGAAATACGAGGCTACCAATACTCTTGTTGAACAAAGGCAACTTGGGTAAGTACCCGGCTCCGAGAGTCTCAAACAAATACCGTTTGAACAGACTCCGATTCGAACCTCTTTATTCAAACCTCTGTATTTAACCCTATCACTCCGCTACATGCTTAATATTAAAATGTCGCACTCATCTCACCACATGATATTATTGGAACTAATTATAAACCCCGATGCTTCTGGAGACTCCAATTCGATTGTTAAAACATTTGCCGAACATGAACACATGATATCTCAGACCGTCGGAGCGTCCACCTTATCAACTTTTGACATCAATGCCATTATATGAGATGTACGCCCACGTTAAAGTATCAACCGACAGAGAACAAAGTCATAATGCATTTTGTAATGGAATGAACACACCTGTCATTTTTAGTCCAACTGTTTTGCAAAGGGATTGAGTTATAGCGAAATATATGGCCTGAAAACCCATCATCATTCTAGACACATTATTGTGCAGGAAACTACGCCCCCATACGTCGGCACATATATAGCCAAGGATTCTGTTAAAAGGTTCTTCAATTGAGAACTTGCTATAGTCTGAATGGTCCGAAGTACCAAGGCCGGTTGTAGTGTGCCAAGTAGGCCTACCCTTTATATTACTGGATACATATTTAAACCGTCGCGTTGCTGAAACGCCGGCTGACTTTCCGAATCATGAACTTGTACACATTTTTAAATTATAATTCGAATACCAGCATATTCGGCAAAATGCCTAGGAGGACTACTATGACAATGTACTGTTTTGCTTTAGTTTTTATTGTTTGTTTTGAAATTTGCTCAAGTTCCCAGTGTATGTTAGACATTTACCAATATGAAACGAAAAGGACAGCGGCAATACGCGGTCAAATTTTGAGTAAACTAGGAATGACTGTACCCCCAAAGGATAGTGGACCAGAAATAATCCCAAAAGAAGACGAAGAAAAGTGGAATGAAACACAGAGGATTTTGGATGAACAATGGTCGGAAAAGTTGGAAGCATGTCATAAATATTCAAGCGAAGATGAATATTATGCAAAACTTACAAAAACATATTCATTGGAGAAAGATTGGCCAAGATCAACAACAGACGGTAAGTAAAATCTATAATTTGACGTAATTTAGGCCTATGATGCTCCAATCTGTCAATATAGACATATTATATTAATACTGTATAACCTAACAGTGAATGCAGCAGCCTATATCTATAGGAAATTACTTGGGATGACAAGAAATTTACGGACAAAACGACGGTTGCAAATATCGATAAAAATGTAATATTAAATGAAACACTTTACTTTTTTGTTGTTCTACAAACAATAATAAACACCATTTTAATGAGCCCGCCAACGAATAACATTCTAGATTCACTAAAGTAGAGCACAAGTACGATTGCTTCGTACACATGAATCGTGATTGTGTTAATTAGTATACAGTAATGTGCGACTATTTATTAGTAATACACATGTGCGATGTGATAATTCTAATCATGTAGTAAGTGCAGAAACATTGACAAAAGTTAAAATTCACGCTCAAATACCTGGCGAAATGTCAAGTGTTGGGCTGAAACCCCAAATATCACAACTGTAACTCTCTCTGGGACGCATTGTACTTTCGAGTTTATCCACCAGACGGCTACAGTTACGAGGTATTGTCCTCGTTTCTCCAGACCCCAGACTCGCATTGTCTTGAATCAACATACGATGTTAACAGACTTATAATACTCATAGGTACTTTTAAAATCCGATTTAATTTTCTGTCTAGAGAATAGACATTCTTTTGTAAAAACACACAGAATTCTAACAATTTCCAGAGTGTTATATTTTACAGTTATAGAAGTAAAAGTCTCGTTACTAAAAATAGAAGTGTGCCTTTACCATGCAAAAAATAAGAGGTGCATTTTACTCTTACTATCTACTATTCGTGTAAAATGTTAGTTCTGCAGTACCATTTTATTTATCATAGTGGGATTTATAACTTAATAAATTGACAATACCTTTTTACAAGCGAACCGATTGATGAAACAACCTAATTTAAATGGACTGAATCAAACCAAACGGTGGGTTTAACCCAATTTCCGTATTGCCTAGGCCTACAATAAAGAAAAGTGCTAACCTTTCGAGTTTCATTTCGATTTGTATAATAAGGTCAATTATTTAATTAAATGATAATTTGATTGATAGCCCTATAATAAGCACTCTTTTCGACAATTTACTTGAACATAGTATTGCTGTAATGAAAAATAATCAAGGGCATGATTGTTGACCTTCATTACACCTTGTCATCGTAATGGGTGGGCTTGTTAACCCCAATACAGCCGTTTCCAATAAATATCACATTTAGTATCCCGGATATGATAATGTTCCAAGTTCAAAACTAACTCAATCATAGCAAGATTTAATTTAGTTGGAAAAGGGGTATCTGTGCTAAATGATAAAACATTGAGTTCGTGTTCATTTAGATTGAATTCCGAAAAAATGTTATGATATTAGGAGACTTTTTCAGATTTTTGGCACTATAATGAAAGACGTTGTTTATAATAAACGTACACGAAAAATAATTATGCCTATTAGATTATTTAGATTATGGAGAGTGGGTAAATAGATATAAATGCTAAGTACCAGTTACGGTATATTATGCTTTATAATAAATAATAATTAAAAAAAACCCCCAAATATTAATTTCATTTGAGAAAAACAACCTTGGAGAATTAAAAAAAAAATTTTTTTTCTTAAAGTTTAACCAAAATGATTAATTTGCTCCCTTTAAAACGTTCGTCCGTTTCCGGTGAACTTACATCAGTTAAATTTTGTGAAGTACTACTTTACTTGAAAAGTCAAATATTTATAGAAATTAGCAGAATGTTCATTTACATACACTGTAGGCCTGTTATTATGGTTTCTTTTTTCGTTGAAATAAACGTAATTATCGCCAGTATATAATTAATTCTTTAGGAAGTTTGAAGAACTTGCAGAATATGTTCAGTTTCTGCAAAAGTAAATATGGAACTCCGATAAGAAGTTTATTGATGGGTATTCTATTAACAAGCATGATGACTAATTCAGTTAAGAAGCTACTGAAAATGAAAACCAGTTGAAATCTCATACGTTGCATTATGAGATCAGAATTTGCTCATTAAATCTTGAATTCCCAAGCGGATACGTAGACGGATATATTTGACAAGGGATACTAAACCAACACGTGTCTATTCACCCATGACGTCACCTAGCCAATTTCCTTTAAGGTTTTGTAAACTGGCTACGGACGCAAACGAAATGCTAACCTATTTCAGTCTTTTCATTTGAGCAAAAACGAAATATCATTTTTAAAATGTCGGTATCTGCTTTGTGATTGGAACGCATAAGTGGCCCGTGGTAAAATTTAGGCATTTTAAATGACGATGTTTAGGCCTTACCATTAATAACAATTCACACTTGGCCCTACATAGAAAGTATGTGTGATCGCAATACATCCCCCTCACTTTTTGAATGTTCTGCTTTGGTTGATGCACCGAACACGAATTAAATAAATTATTATGGGTCATGTTTTTAAGTAGATCACTGAATAGCTGGCCTAGTTCGGCTACCTGCACCATCAACATAAAATTATGTTAGGCATATAAATTGATAGAAGACAAAGGGAATTCTTCAAAATATAACAGTATGATATTGGGTTTATTGACTCTCTAGTTAAGAAAAAAATAAGGCCAACATACGTATAGACAGGCATAAGTGGACATTGTAAGAAAACATTAAAAAGATGGGTAGATGACTGTTGCTAGTAGATATGTTACGAGAAACCTTCCTCAAAGATTATGAAGTTCACCTAACTGCTCTTAAGATAGAATATTATAGACCATAACAATATGCTGATTTTTAGAACAAAGTCTTACATTTTGTAACACTTTTTTTATGTTGTTCAAGTAGACCTAAGTTTATTAGTATAACTATTCGAGTATAAAGTAGGCCTAAAGTACTTTTTTCTACCAAACTTAACGTCAAGATATTTAGATGTTCTTTTGAAATGTTCACATTATTATTTGTTGATTTTTAAAATCAGAATCTGCGGGTTTTTATGTTTCTTTAGGATCATTACTATTATTTTATCGTGATACAATTTGAACCATAAAGTACAGTTTGAAGTTGTTGCTATAGGGTTGTTACATATTATTAGAGCTTCACAAGATTGGACTAAGACGATCCGACGGACGTTATTTTTATATAATATGTATGGCTATAATGATCAAAATGTTTATAATGTGCAAAGTGATACAAAATGATACAAGTCGCAGTTTACCATTAGAGTTTGTTTTAAATTTCATTCAGTCTCTTTAAGATTTACTGGTACAATTTGTTAAAAAATCTGGAAATTTCCCCAATATTTTTTAAATAAAAATAACTAATTATTGAATTTGACATTTAAAAGAATAAAAATAAGACGTCAATGTAAATCAACAAATATTTTTTCACAGATTATATACGTTTTACTATAGAAAAACGTAGTAACCAGCACATTTAATATAGAAATAGTATTAATGAAATAATTTCTCATTTCAAATGAAAGTAAATATAACACCTTGATTAAACATTAAACTAAGTAAAATATCAAATTTTATTGGTTATTAGTTCTTCAAGAAATGTAACGCTATCAAAAGAAATATGAATTTGTGTGACGCGTTCTTGTCACAAATACAAATACCATTTGATTAAAGTTGTTAATATTTCTTTCACAGAACATTTCAAAAAATATTACGAAGAAAATCAATTCAAATACTCGATGTTCTATAAGTTTAATATAAGCGATCTTCAAAGAATGTCGAAGTCTATAGAAATAACGGAAGCCCAGCTGAGAATTTTTAAAGCAAATAGATCGGAAGCAACTGTTGAAGAGCAACATATTGAGTTATTCTCCATTGAGAGTATGAACAACTCGACCCCTGTGCGCAGGTTCCTGGGGGCAAGCGTGGTCAACACTAAGGAGGACGAATGGCTAACATTCGACGTAAGAGAGGCGATTCAGAGGTCCTTCAGCACATGTGGTAAGTAAACCGATGTAAATGTATGTTCATTATATATCTTGTGTCTTTTTCTATTTTTTATCACAGTAGCGCGTCAAAACGAGCGCGTATTGGTTGTCAAGGAATTTTGTATTCTTTACCACACAAAAAGTCCTTAACAACAGTAGTGCGTATTTTGACGCGCTTTCTTGATTTCACGAACTAACACAATCTACTTTGATTGTGTTAGTTCGTGATGTGAGTGACGAATTAAAATGCAAGCACCTTAATGAAACCACAGTTCCACTTCATGATTGTCATTAAAACCTTGAATGTATAAAATCCAAATTCACACTACTGGATTCAATTACTGAAATCAGGACTTTCCCACCAATGAAAATTTGACCAATTTCCCCAGATTATATTCATAATTCTTATGTTTCAGGACTATGTCCGTCCCAGATATCGTCAGACCTGCTTATGCTTAATCTTTTCATCCACGATTTTATTATTATAAACCATACAATTAATTTAGTAATTTAACAAAATCATTATAGGCCTATGTGTTCAGTATGTATTGTCATTGTGTCAATAGCGATCAGAGCACTTTGGTGAATCGTGTAGTAGGCCTATTGGATAGTCGATGCAGCAATTTTTGTTTGGGCGCGAACTTATATCATACATTTATAAATGAATGAATAAATAAATGAATGAATAGTTAGAAAACGTAAGAAATTACTGTAAAACTATCATTAAATCACGGTAGGCCTAATCAGTTTTATAACATTTTATCTTATCTTAAATTCAGAATGTAATATAGGCCTATGACTTACATCCAGAAATCAGCATTTAATAACAGAGAATAATAGGCCTATGCCGAATAAATTATACAAAAATACATTTACCTATCGTGGCACACAATTAGAACAGTACCGCACAAAAATATTATCGCACAGCAATATCTGAAATGCAGCTATCTGGATTTATGCATCGGCCCAAGAAGGACCTTAAATACATGAAACAAATTGATGCTTCATAAACAAAACATATGTAGGCTTATGAAGTGGAGGAGCTATTCTGGCAGTTAAATATGGCTGAAAGTGTAATTACGGTAGTGGTTAGCCTCGTAAATTCGGTGGAGGTGCATGATGGATCGTGTGTCATCTTTAATACCTTATTACTCTACCTTGACTGTACAAAAGTACCAAAAAAAACCAAAAAAAAACACGACATTTCTTGATAACCGCTCCCCCATGTGGATATTTTATTAGTAAACATAATACAGTAAGGTGGTATAGTGCATAGACTAGACACACACTCCCGCTGCAGCTGGGAGCCTTTTTTTCAGTTGTATTGTTACTTTTGTTGTAAAGGTTATGTTATCGTCTTTGTTTTGTTTAAGATAACAGATTAAAAAAAAATATATATAGCCAGCGTAATAAATATTTAGAATTCGTTAAATTTCAAAAGAGGTGTGATGCAATATAGAAAGTTATTTCAATCTTTTGCTACAACAACCTCCAAACATGCAAAGCTTACAAGTCCAGCTTGTGTTTCTTTTCCAAAGGAAATTAATGAGTAAAAGGATTTGTATTTTGTTTCCATCTTACAGACAATTTAGGCTTCGAATTGACGACCCATTGTGATCCGTACGAACGACAAAAATTACAAATTGCTCTAGCAGGTGAGAATTCTTCTTTTTCTTTTATATTTTATATGGAATATGTAAAATTACTTAATATACACATATATAAGAGAGTTAGCATCAAAATATTGAGTTGCACATATGTACCAAATAAGTATAACATGTGAGTTTAAGTATACTAAATCAGTGACAGGTTGACGTGGTACGGAACAATGTATATTTCGTCCTGTTCTCAGGATTCATTCAGAGTTAATAAAATAGTGATCAAAATAACTTCGGAGGGATGGTGATATGTTGCCAGGTACCGGTATCTTACTTGCCTATGCAGCCTTCCAATATTGAGGCACATGAAACACGGAAAGAAAAACAAAAACAACAAGCAGAATAATGCAACAATGTACAATGAATAAATATGAATTAAACCAATATATAATTACAACTACAAATATTTCTTTCCATATTCAGGCCCATCTCAACAGACAAGAGTCCCAAGTCAAGGAGTTCGAGGAGACACGTCAAATGATGACGAAACTACGGCCCAGTATTTCCTCAAACCTGGATCGCACCCCACACTGATAGTATTCTACAGTGCCACTCCAAACGCAATGTCTGGCAATATTGAAGAAACGACTGTTCAACTGAATTTGTCACCAGGATCACAGAGTTATGAGGACGAACGCGACGGTGGAACACATCATCGCACGAGAAGGAACGACCGACGACGTCGAACTCCCGAACTCAACGAGGATTTTTGCGATTACGAAACTTCAAAACGCTGTTGTCTCCGGGAATTTTATATTGACTTCGAAAAACATCTGAATTGGCGGTGGATACGGCGACCACGTGGTTACAGAGCCAACTTTTGTGCAGGTAGTTGTCCGTACATGTGGGGCACCGATGTAATGAATACACAAGTGATAGGTCTATACAAGAAAATGAACCCAGATGCATCCCCCTCCCCATGTTGTGTGTCTAAGAACCTGAAACCACTATCCATTTTATATTACGAAGGAAACAAACCAATAGTAACCAAGTTAACAGATATGATAACAACGTCATGTAAATGTAGCTAAGATCAATTTAAATTTATTTATCTTAATTTATTATCAATGTTCCCTACAACTCCAAGAGTTGTTTTCTATATATTTTGTTCGTTCATCTAAATGTTTGTCCTAGATATGTGTTTGTTTCCGTTTGGTTTGTAGATATTAATGGGAAATAAGGTACCCGAACGTAATTCAATTATTGTCAATATCCACCGTATATGCCTACAATATTAGTTCGTTATTAGTAAAACACTCCGAAAAACACTAAATTTAGTATTAAAAATGATACACATTCGTTTCTAGTGAAATTGTTTTATGACTTCTTGTGTTCGTCGATTGATTAGTTTAAGCCTGGAAAAAATTAACCCAAATGTCATCAGCAAAATCATCACAACATCGAAAACAAATTCATCACATCAACAACAGAATCACATTGTCAACAAAATCATCACATCATCATTAACAACAAAATCATCACATAATCAGCAGCAACAACGTCATTATATCATCACCAACAACAAAATCATCACATCATCAGCAAAAACAAAATCATTACATCATCAGCAACAACAAAATAATTATATCATCAGCAACAAGAAAATCACATTAAAAACAAAACCATCACATCAGCAACAACAAAATAATTATATCATCAGCAACAACAAAATCACATTGTCAACAAAACCATCACATCAGCAACAACAAAATCACACTGTCAACAAAATCATCACATTATCAGCAAGAACAACATAATTATATCATCAGCAACTACAACATCACATTGTCAACAAAACCATCACATCAGCAACAACAAAATCACATTGTCAACAAAATCATCACATTATCAGCAACAAAATCATCACATTATCAGCAAGAACAACATAATTATATCATCAGCAACATCACATTGTCAACAAAATCATCACATCATCAGCAAAAACAAAAAAATCATCACATTATCAGCAAGAACAAATAATTATATCATCAGCAACAACAAAATCACATTGTCAACAAAACCATCACATCAGCAACAAAAAAAAATCACATTGTCAACAAAATCATCACATTATCAGCAACAACAAAATCATCACATCACCAGCAACAACAAAATTACTTGTCAACAAAATCATCACATCATCAGCAACAACAAAATCATCACATTATCAGCAACAACAAAATAATTATATCATCAGCAACAACAAAATCACATTGTCAACAAAATCATCACATCATCAGCAACAACAAAATCACATTGTCAACAAAATCATTACATCATCAGCAACAACAAAATCATCCCATTATCAGCAACAACAAAATCACACTGTCAACAAAATCATTACATCATCAGCAACAACAACATCATCACATTATCAGCAACAAGAAAATAATTATATCATCAGCAACAACAAAATCACATTGTCAACAAAATCATCACATTATCAGCAAAACAGAATAATTATATCATCAGCAACAACATCATATTGTCAACAAAATCATCAAATTATCAGCAAAACAAAATAATTATATCATCAGCAACAACAAAATCACATTTTCAACAAAATCATCACATCATCAGCAACAACAAAACCATTACATCATCAGCAAGAACAAAATAATTATATCATCAGGAACAACAAAATCACATTGTCAACAAAATCATCACATCATCAGCAACAACAAAATCATCACATTATCAGCAAGAACAAAATAATTATATCATCAGCAACAACAAAATTACTTTGTCAACAAAATCATCACATCATCATCAGCAACAACAAGATCACATTGTCAACAAAATCATTACATCATCAGCAACAAAATCATCACATTATCAGCAAAACAAAATCACACTGTCAGCAAAATCATCACATCATCAGCAACAACAAAATCACCACATTATCAGCAAAACAAAATAATTATATCATCAGCAACAACAAAATCACATTGTCAACAAAATCATCACATCATCAGCAACAACAACAAAATCATCACATCATCAGCAACAACAAAATCATCACATCATCAGCAACAATAATATCATTATATCATCAGCAACAACATAATCATAACATCATCAGCAACAACAAAATCACCATAGCATCAGCAACGACAAAATCATCGCAACATCAAAAACAACAAAATCATTGTATCAGCAACAACAAAATCACATTGTCAACAAAATCATCAGCAACAACAAAATCATCACAACATCAAAAACAACATAATTACATCATCAGCAAAGTAACATTCTCAACAAAATCACATCAATAAATCATAATATTAAAAGCATGAACAAGATCATCACTATATGAGTCAGTCAGGTTATCTTGATCTTCTGATTTTCCAAACATGAATCCAAAGTAAGCCACATTTACACTAGACACGATACAGATGTGCGCAGTGTATAAACTACGCGATGATATGTCGTTGTCGTGTCGTAATCGTGTCTAGTGTAAATGTGGCTTAAAGAAACGATTTGAACTTCTACAAATGAAATTCTGCTGCATTTATTTCGTTTATACCATGTACTGAACAGTAAAATCACAAATGTTAAATATTTTTACAGACAAAACTTTTTAAATATTTTGTTCAACTTTTTACACACATCGTCCAAAAGTGTACAATATTATATTATAAAGAAAGTACTTTGTATATCTGACGAGGTTTCTGTTCTGTTCTTGGTGCAGCAGATAAACGACTGTGAAGAGATGTACTTTAATGAACTGAGGCAACATCCTGAACGTAGATTAAACCATGGCATTTTAAGTAAAGAAACCCTTTACACTCAAATTCAATAAGGTCCACTATCCAAATGTCATGGGGGTTCCATAATAATTATAAAAAATATTAGTAATACAGGTAATAATAATAGACATAATATAATAGTGAATAGAAAAAAAAAACAATGTACAAACAGTTTACATCACTTGAATATTAGAAATGCATATACAGTAAATGCTTAGTAATTATATAAATGTTAAACATCCTTGATTATATAACTTCTGAAAACTGTTTATAAAACTTATTTTGATATCAATCAATCAATCAAGGCCAGAAAACACATTTCATGATAAAAAAAAAAGCACTTAGAACCATGGGCTAATAACACTGTAAATACAATTCGTTACAATATCAATATAACCAAAGACTTACTATATACATTTTATTAGTACAATATTAAAAATAAAATATAATAAAATAATTGCAAAATTTATTTTGTATAAATTTTATTGAGGGTGACCATAACTTCTAAAGCACACATACAACATACAAGGGTTTATTGCTTTGGGAGTTACAGTACTTGTAAGTCACTTCTGTCTTGGTGGAACTGAAAGACAACCTATGTAAATGTAAACATAATTTGTATAATTATCATTAATAATAATAATCATACAATAACAAGACTTTTTAGTTATAATAAATATAACTTTTAAAAACAATACGTTTTGGTTATAATTAATGGTAAAAACAATGTAATAGAATTTACAATGTACAGACACCTACAAAAGTAATTAATTCATAAACAAAATATACTATCACAGTAAACAAAAATACTAAATATAATAATAATAATAGTCAAAATAGTAATAATAATAATAATAATAATAATAATAATAATAGTAAGCATATCGCCATTACCATTAAAAATAATAAAATTTATAACAAATATACTTCTGATTCTAAAATGCATGAATGCTTAATGAACTGTTTTTCTCCAAAACAATAATTAATATTTAAAATAACAACATTCACTAACAGTACAACAGAGAAAATATAAATTTAAAACCAATTACTTCAATGATAGGCCTGTATTTAAAAGACTGTTAGCAATAGGACAACGATAAAAAGTTCTATTCTAAATATGCCAAGTAGTCAATGATTTATTGGACACAAGTTTTTTTCGTGTGATGCATTGCTGCCTGTAGACATCAAACGATGGGATGGGCTTTGTATATCCAAATATGTGTTTATGCTGGCGCAAATGCATAAGGCACGGCTATTTACATAGCTCAAGTAAACTTTGAAGGGATGAAATTATAAACATAAAAAATCAAACAAATTATAAAAATCAAACAACATTTTGAATAACAATAAATTTAATACAAGTTAAACTGAGAAATTTAGTCAGAAGTTAATAATGAAAGATATTTGTATTGCACAAAGCTACAAAAAAAAATACAAAGGATCGGATGATTAAAAAGAACATGGTTTCCACTAATTATTTTTTAAAAAATTAATTTAAAATGTGAATTTGTTACATTTTACAGCGTAAGATACCAAGTTATAAGCTCTTTAAGTAGATGAGTCATCGCTAGTGGTCCTGTGGGGAACCTTATTTGAGTTTCCTCGCCTAAGTACAGAAGGTCAAACACTTCCTCTCTGTCCTTAAGATTGCTCGCAAGCAACTGTAAGAGAAACTCTGCAACAAACACTGAAACACGCAGCGAGGCTTGGTGTGCTTGGTGTTGAAAAGGCTTTCCTTGTATTACATAACAGGCTCGTAGCCTTATCACCGAGGAAACACGAGTGCGTGGTTAAGTAGTTTAACTGAAGAGGGATGTATTTTTGGATAAGTAAATAAAACGATTGGTGAGTATGCAGTGAAAGATTCAGAAGCTACTAAAAGCAATGCTTCCTAACGAGTTAAAGTTACATATTCTTAGCTGTTTGATTTAAAGAAATGTTTATTGGGCCTAACTATTTAGCTACCAATCATTCAATTTCTGTGGACATTTGTTGAAAAAAAAGGATACTTGTAAAATAATAAAAACTATAATTAATAATTATATGCTAACAATAAAATAATATTTATAAAACACTAATGAAAAAATAAAATTAATAAAAAGAATAATAATATAAAATAAACTGGAATGCAAGAATTCTCAAAGTAAAATTGAATAGATCTTAAACAATAACACAATAATAATACAATAATAATAAACAATACATGACACCTAAATTCTGTACACAATAGATTACTGAGAAACACAAGAATAGCAAAATAGATAGTTTGCATAGATAAAAAGCAACTAAAAATTTTGAGCTGCATAATTATTCAAATAGCTAATTAGCATATTCATAAAGTTTAAAAAACAAATGAGAATTTTAAACTGAATTACTTTAGTTATGGAATGCATTTTTAAAAAAAAAACATCAAAATTGTTGAAATTGTTGTTTACACTGTTGTATTATTCCAACAATACAAAAAATGTGTTAAGCAAGATGAAAATTCCCATGAGCATTCATGTTTAAGCATTGATTTATGATTAAATTTTCGAATAAATTCATGAATGTCAGCAATCTTTTCCCCTAAACTGAATGTCTATAAAACTTGAAAAATATCCTTCATAAAAAGCTATAAGGCTTTCAATGTAGGATTTGATCTATAGAATTAGCGACATTTAATTTCCAATTGAAAAAACATCAAAAATATATTATTCGGTTGCAGTCTGAAGGAATTGACAGTATTTTTTGGAGGATTGTCTGTTCAGGTGTAGGTGAGGTCTGTCACTAAGGAAACCGTTTCGGTTTATGGTAGGTCCAATAATAAATAACGAGCAATGACGGGTATAAAGTAGACACCAGGTGATTTCATTTACAGGTGTATTCAGGATGCGGATTGATAAATGTAGGTCAAGTCACCTGTTGATATTCTCAAGTGGTTGTGGTGTTGATTATATAGTTGAAAATAGAAAAGGGAGCAGAAGGCAATCACAACATATGAGATTCACCTTAGAATCACCAGCAGATATGTAAATGATAAACACTTCAATCATAAAACCACTGGCTCCTTCCTTTATCTTTACAAGAATAATTACTTATCCCTCTCTTTAATCTTGACAGGAATAATCAACTGAAATCAAAAGATTAATCACACATAACCAAAGCTTAAAGCTCTGTCCACACTAAAGTTTTCTTTGACAAAAAACTGGTGTACGCCCATATATAGTCATGATGTGCCTATATATGGTCATGATGTGCCTATATATGGTCATGATGTGCCCATATATAGTAATGTGCCTATATATGGTCATGATGTGATGTCAGCATGACCATATTTAGGCATGTCACATGTTTTTATCAAACAAAATTTGATAGTCTGAACAGGGCTTTAGTGCTCATAATACTAAAGTTCTGTCAACAAATTCTATGCGACAAATAAATGTGACATGCCCATATTTGGGTGTAATCACATCATCATGCCCATATAATTAAAGGTACCCAAATTTGTCAAAGAACATTTAACAGTTTAGACTAAGCTTAAAACAAAATATACCAATTCCTATACCACAATCATAAGTACAAGCAATACCAATAAAATGGTAATTTATACACAAACGTGTGTATAAAAAAAACCATTACTTCCTTACAACCTTATTACGTTCAGTATTTGCAAGTTTATATAATAGGCCTATATACAGATAAAGCATGAAAGACTTTCAATGGTAGACCTTAGGATCTGTACAGTTAGAAAACATATAGAAAAAATCATGAAAGAGTTAAGCAAACATACTTATAAAAACATGTTTATAAATTATACATGTATGTGCTTTAAAAACATAAGAATTATGACATGCACGCAAATGCATATATTAAGACTTATATTGTCAGGAGTAATAAATCTGTATGTATGATATAAAGACTTCATAAAAAGTAAGACATAAAAATGACGGGCAGGTAAAAAGCATAAAAAAGCGTAAAATAAGCCTCTGTTTCATTGCAATGCATATCTCCATATATTTACATTATGCTTTAGTACGAATGACAGCAACACAGTGTTGAGGAAGACGGTCTGGTTGAGTAAGGCTGTGGCAATGATTGTCAATTGCAGGTGACTGAGGTCAAAGGTCATCCTTCTTTTCAACGACCTGTACTGTCTCAATGTCTTGTGACGCTTGCTTGTAGACCTGCCAAAGGAAGCAGAAGAACACTGTGACGGTGTTTTAACACATAGACACTAGTGAATTCAATGTGTGTATTGATTCAACCTTTGCCCTAAGAAGATCTGTATTGGCGAAATTTAATTTAGCAGGTGTGAAAGCCTGTCAATGGTCATAACCTGCTAGTGTCAAAAATCCTGGCATTCAGGTTAGTAAACTAACAACACTATTACAGCCATTCAGAGGCTAGTAAACTAACAACCACATTTAACAGTCCTTCAGAGGCCAGTAAACTAACACTTAACAGCTAACAACATAAAAAGCCAACAACTAACAACAATTAATAAGTTAAATATCATAGAATTCAGAGGCCAGTAAACTCAAACTAACACTTAACAGTTAACAACATAAAAAAGCCAGCAACTAACAACAATGAATAGGTTGTAACAACAGAAAAAAAAATTAAGTACACCATTAAATAAATTACAATTAATATTTTTTTTAAATAAACTGAAATTTGAACTCATAAAGCAACTTACAATTTTGACATATAATTCACATTCTTAAACCATGTGATGAACTACTGCTATATCACATGAGAGAATTCTTAAGGACCTGTAACGCTAGATATTACGTTGTCATATATCGCTTTAAAACATATTTTCGTTATAACTCACACAAGACCATCAATTACTACATTTTTGCACCATCATATTTAATAATAATAATAAATAATAATATGTCGTTCTTATATAGCGCTTAATGCCTTAACAAAGCCTCTAAGCTCTTCACAATATTACCTCGGTCATTGGATCAAACACATATGGAACACATTGAACACTAAATGAAATTATTAAATTAAATTATATCTCCATAATATTGCGGCTAGTAATCAGCGCAGTGTTGGAACCTACCAGGTACCCACTTGTACTCCTGGGTGGAGAGAGGCAACCGTAGATAAAGTGCCTTGCCCAAGGAAACAAGCGATTTGCACAGCGAGAGTTTTGAACCACCGACCTCGGGGTTGGGAGTCCAAGCCACACCGATGCGCCAACCACTTCTACATTTACCAAGGGTGATCCACCTTGTGGGCTAATCATTTGGGACAGTCAATAATAGACTTATGGAGTAGAAAGTTTGGACTCTTGATGCTCTATAAACTAAGTCTACTAATGAGGCGTCATCACTACGCGAGCAACTCAAGCGAATTGATGAACACCATCACAACCGAAATTAAGGGTGGTATTTGAACATGCGTTTGCTGCCGGTGTAAAATGGGTGCAGCTCGGGATCAACTCAGACTTTTTCGTTCGATGTAAATGGGAAAAGCAACCGGGATCACTCCGAAACAAACAGGTTTATTCTGACCATGGCCGTGTAAAAGGGGTATTAATAAGGCTTCGGGAGTGGAGAGCTGATCAATATGGAACACTCAATGCTCTATTTAATAAAGTCTCTTAATAAGGCTTCGGGAGTTACGAGAGCTGAAACTTATGGAACACTTGATAAGAGATGTGGAGTAGAAAGTTTTGGCTCTCGATGCTTGATAAACAAGTCTCTTATTGACGCCTGGCAAGCAGAACATTGGGGGTGCTATATATTCTATAAGGAAAAAGTGTAGGTAACAAACGAAAGGCCACGCCCACCTCAGGCCCACCATGATTGGGGCTAAGGTGATGACATTTTTCTAGAATAAGCACCTTTAGAAGCCGGAAATGGCACTGTCAGGCTGCAAAAAAAAACAAAAACCGGCAACTGAAGTTCAGGCCTAAGTAAAACAAAAGATTTGTTTTTTATTGAATTTGCAGGAGATTTTTGCTTGTTTGCGTGAGTGTGGGGAACCGTACCAATTTCTGGGAAACTCCCGGGAGTTCCAGGAAAATTGGGACCTCTGTAATTCCATCTTTCAAGTGTCAAGTTACTTGCTGTTGAATGAAATAATAATTTTTAAAAAGACCCTCAATTCTCTATAAACAAGTCTCTTTAGGCTTGGAGTGGAGACCTGGCCATTTCTGACCCTTAAGTCTCTAAAACAAAGTTAAAAAAATCAATACAGGTCTTCCTCTAATTAAAGACTACTACCAGTTTAAAAAACATTTTTCTGTGGTGCCAAATTAACTTAAGATGTCTTTTATCTTTATCATTCTAGAGACCGAAGCTGCTAAAGTCCACTAAAAGTGCCAAATGTGGTCTTTAAATGGAGGAAGACCAGTATAAAATATTAATTTTTCAACAATATATCTCTTAGCGGTTTTTTGATGGCTTTTGTTGGCATTGAAAAATAGCAACAAAAGTTTAAAAGGTTCATATATGTCATTCTCAGACATCTCTGACAGTTTTATTTTCAAAATGTAGCTTACGAGCATGTGTGGCTTAATGGTCTTTTTTTATACACACCCCAACAGGCTATTTTTAGTATTTTGTAACCAAGTCTCCTTCCTGGTTGTGTTCGCTGGAAACTAGCCAGCGAATAATTCATATTAATACTGGTCATACCAAAAGACTGAAATAGTCTGAAACAGTACCTCATATAGTTCAACTAAGCTTACTGATAGGCTCTTAGAAAGTAATCTAAAAACTGAGAGGGATTATTTGTTATCAAAAATATTTATAATTAGCCACTGATAATTAATCATAAATCACAGAGTACTGTTACCATGCCAACATACAGTTAGTTTTGATATGACATCACTGTGATGTCAAAACAAATATAAAGCACTGTTGAATCAAAAGTACAGAATAAATGTGTTGTTTTCGCATTGGTATTAATCCAATGAAATGTCTACTGTAGGCCAGGCTAGCAATTGGTACAAAGGGCCCAACAGTGCAGGCCAACTTCTGGAAAGAAACAATAACATTATGTATATTTTTCAATCTATATTTGTTGCTCACATAAGTACCGTATATTTCGGTTGAAGTATCACTGATTTGAATTGTAGAATGAGTATATTGTATTTTTAATCGCCAATTACTTCGAAAAAAGGGGTGTCTACACATATAAGACCATGTACTGCATATATCCTTGGGTTAATAGTATATTATGTGAGGTATTGTGCAGTATAATAATATTACTATAATAACAATAATATTATTAACTTATTAGTTTTATTATATAGAGTATGGCAAATTAACAAAATAATATTACACTTACAGTCAACAGAAATATTACAATAAAAACTAACAAATAATAATACTTAAATTCAACAGAAATATTACAATAAAAATTAACAAAGAATAATAACAATATAAAATAACTTTTTGTGATACCACAATAAAAATTATTGTACCATCATTGACAAAATAATGCAAAATATCACCTATCAAACAATAGTATGGTATTAACACAGGTCCATTCTGTTCACAAACTGTTTACATTGAAACGTACATCGTTTACTATGAAAAACTAGTAATGCAATTATATACAAGATTAGTTTAATTGACTTTACTAATAACAGAGTTTGTGGACATTTAGCAGGATTAAGGCTTGACTTAACAAGGCAACATGCAAATGAAAAACTAAACAGACGACCATCTTGACTACTAGGCATGCGGAACTATTAAAAAAACATCTTTTAATAATTAGTTTCAACATATCTGTCGCCAACAAATCAAAGGGTTTTATCCATTTTATTCACTTTTATGTCTCACAGATAATAGCCTAGCTACTAATAATTATTAGAATAAATATATATATTTTTTTCACATTAGGCATAAGAGTCAAGGATTGCCAATTGGCATGGTTTAAGTATCATTCCTTTTCACAAGACAAACACATGGGATGTTTTATACATAAATTGAGTCTTGTTATGAGTCTTTATGTGGAGTTCTTGTTTTTGTGGAAAAAAAAAATCTATTAGGACTACTTGACCGCAATGGACTTTCCGGGGTGTCAATCAAACTTAACATCAGACCAATCAGAATACGGCCAGCAATACCTGTATATGCGTGCCCAACAAATGTGTGGTGGCAAAGACAAGACAGACGAGTCACTCATCGCAAAAATCGATTTTGAGTTATTAATACAGGGTTAAGCAGTAGAATGAGAGCTATAAAATGGGAAAATAATCATTCAAATCCGACATTTAATTACGAAGTTAAGAGCGTTTAAACATGCAGCTGTTTAAAGAACAATATATATAAGAAATCACCCTGCAAAGTTTATGATTTCGGGAATTTCTCATGGAGAAACTATCATGAAATCCTTAAAAAGTGTTGTTTTAACATTGAAAATGAGGAAAATCACAGCATAGTATGATGTATAAATATATAAAGTTTAGTTTAGTGCAAAATAGATTTTTTAAAATTTGAAATTCCAGCATGTTTTGGCCATATTCTCTGAAACATGACTTGCGACTGGTTTAGCTTGTCTTTGCCACATCCATTGTGCCACAAATGCACATGTTTGCGTACATTTACATTATTGTTAAAAGGGTAAGCAACTTTCCACCAAGCTACAGCTTCAATCAAAATGATCAATGTTACGCTATAACATATGGTAGTTCCTCTGGTATACAAGCCCACCCAACACCCCCAAAAATTATGCCACATTTATGTTCAAGTGGGGTTGGCTTACTGTATACCACAGTCACTATGGTAGTCTTATGGAGAGCAGCAAGTACATCAGAATAAATATTATCCTTATTTACACCAATTTAACTGACACAGTCAAAATTTTTCATATTGGTGTATGTCACGATCTTCTGCCAAATTTATTAGCTGCAAAAAAATGATTAGTTTAGATTAGAAGCAAATGTATTAAAGTAGTAATAACTTAACACCTGAAGGTAGGATTTGGTTAAGCAGATGGTTGCAGGAGGGCCATTGTTAAAATCTCACCCTGCTGTTAATATCACAGCATCAGTTAAACAAAAATTTGTTTTTTTAGATCCAGTTTCAAATGTTGCCAAAAATAAAGGAAACAAAGTTGAATAATTTTTTTGTTTGTGGTGGAAATGAAATTGAATAATTCTAATATTATACAACATTTACTAGGCAACAGACATCATATTTTATTATTTAAAGGAGAG